TTTGGGAGAGCAGCAGCAACCGAGTTGCTGCAGCAGAAGCATCGATGCTGCGTGGTTCTGCTGCTGCTGCAGCCACGATATTGTTGCTGCTTTCTCCTGCAGAGGCGAAGATGTTATATGCAGCTACCTGCGTATACACCCCGCGTACTGTCCCCCCAATCGCATGCATGCAGCAGCAGAAAAAGTACAACAACCCCACCTTGGCGGTGGAAACATAAATATAAATAAAAATAAAAATAGAGAAAAAAATAAAAATATTAAAATAAATAAAAAAACAAAAAAAGGAAATAGAGATACAGACCCAGAAACAAACAGAAACAGAGAAGGAGAAAGAGAAAAAGAGAAAAACAAAAAAGGAGATAAATATATAAATATAAACAATAGTATAAACTATACACACAATGCATGCATGCGCATGCAGCCCCAAAACAGAATAAACTTCGCTCCCTCTCCCCTAAAAACAATAAACTGCGGCCTCCTACCCCCCATCATAAACAGAGAAACTGTTGAAGTCTCCTGGCAGGTAACTTCTTCTTTTTTTTTATTTTTATTTTTTTTATTTTATTTTTTATTTTATTTTTTTATCTTATTTTTTTATTTTATTTTTTTTTATTCTATTTTTTTGTTTTGTTTTGTTTTAGTTGGTTTTTTTTTTCTTTTGTTTTTTCTTTTGTTTTTTCTTGTTTTGTTTTCATTTGTTTTGTTTTGTTTTATTTTTTAATTTTGTTTTGTTTTATTTTATTTTGCTTTGTTTTATTTTGTTTGTTTGTTTCATTTACACACACACGCACACACGCACACACACACACACACACACACACACACACACACATATATATATATATATATATATATATATATATATATATATATATATATATATATATGTTTCCACTGCAGGCAAGCGTGAATATGTTTCCGCGTATAAGTTGGGGGATCGAGCACCGGGATCGATCCCAGGCGATCCCCGCCTGTACCCCGGTTGCTTCTTCGTGGCTGCAGCAGCAGCCGCAGCAGATAACTATAGATGACGTTGCTGCTACTGCTTCTTTTCATTCTTATGCTGGTGCTTGTCTTCTTAGTTTACCTCTCTCTTACACACACAGGGGGCCCCTCATCAGCCCACATACACAGTACCCAGGGGGCCCCCCACGCCGAATACGCTGCCGCTTCTGCGGCGCAAAAAACACACCAACACCACCAGCAGCAGCAGCAGCGACAGCAGCAGCACCAGCAGCAGCAGCAGCAGCAGATGATCATGCTGACGATCGTCCTCCTTCTCGTTTTGTTTTATTCTGCAAAAGGTGTGCTGCGCCTATCAGCGGCCCGGGTGTATGGGGGGGCCCCCAAGGTGCCCTGGGGGCCCCCTGGGGGCCCCCGGGTGCCCCCGGGGGGCCCCCGGGGGCCCCTGGTTCTATTGTTGTATTGTGTGCTTACACTACAAGCGGACGACTGACATGCAGGCCGCTAACTATAAACGACCCCCTGCTGCAGCTGCAGCTGCAGCAGAGGAATGGGGTGTATGCGCAGCTCGCTAGGCGGCAGAGGAGACGGCGGGGGGATGCCAGCGGGATCGATCCCAGGTGTGGGGTGGGGCTGGGGGGAGGAGAGGGTGCAGCAGCAGCAGCAGCAGCAGCAGCAGGGGGAGGGGGAGGGGCTTCTGCTGCTGTTGCTGCACTCTTTTCTTTTCATGCTTCGCGTTTACAAAAGCCGCAGTTGGTTGCTGCTCCTGCTGCTGCTGCTGCTGCTGCTGCTGCTGCTGCTGCTGCTGCTGCTGAAGGGGGTGTAGAGGAGACATCTGCAACGGGCTCGGATCAGCTGTCTGTCTCCTCTGTCTCTTCTGTCTCTC